TTTCTTTCCAACCCACCCGCTGAGTTTGCTTATGATAGAAGCATACTTTTTAAAATTCGGAACTTAAGAAGTGATTTCTTGGTTCAAAGAAAAGCAAACATCTATTGATAATTTTATTCGCAACTATTAGTAAACAATAAAGACACCTTTGTCTAACACCCCTGATAATCGATAATTTGCGTATCACTGCAGTAAGGCCATACATTAAGAATTCTAATGAGAGTATAAGATAGTGGTAGTTATTTGATATTCAGAGGGAGAAGGCCAATGTGGAGTGGGAGGATGTAAGTGTCTATATGTTATAAGGAATGATAATAAAGAATTGAAAGAGTGATCCGAGGAGGAAAGAGGAGAATGTGAGAAGTATAGTCGGTCCAGAGAGCGGAGACAAGAGAATTGTTTGAGAGGAGGAGAATGAAGAAGAGTGGAAGTAGTTACACATCAGGAAATCTGTTTGCTGTTTGTAGAATGCAAACGCTGAATAAATGCTAAATTAAATGTGCATAAGCGTGTAAATTCTGCAAATGTTTATAACGTGTTGTCAAGCATATTCAAACGATTACTAGCCAACAGCTACCCGAGCACTTAAACGCATTAATCTAGACGCGCATAAACGTGTGGTTTCTGCAAACGCTTATTAGACGATTCATCAAGCGTTTCAATTACTTTAATAAGGTATTTTTTTTGACCGATATATGATTCCTGTAAAAGTAGTCTCACAGTTTAAGCATAATTGATTTCTCGTCCATTGTATTAAATACAACACGTGACAAAACTAACTAGTCAAAGAAGCCTTTAAACAACAAATACCAAAAGTCACTCTCTCGAAGTACATTCTGTTGTGATTAATGTCTTTTAAGTCAATGTTCATATGTTACCACATACAGTATATATCGTCAATTACAGTACTTTTTATGAATTCGTAAAGATTTACGCTAAGGAGCTCAAAGGCGATACAGAGATAGTTTCTGAAGTAAAAGTGGTTAGTCATGTGAATTATGTTATGGTTATCATCTGGATCCTGGACATACAGAATTCATGAGTATAGTCCGGTGCAATAATGTAGATACCTCAGTTTTTTTTCATAGAAATTTTTTGAGAAGTTATTTTTTAATTCTGATTAAATAAATCAATTCTTCAGTCAAGAGGAACCATTTTTATATCAATTTTATTAAAAGTTGATTAGTCAAATTCAACATCATTCTCTAAAGAAAAATTATTGTCTGTTTCACAGTCATTATCTATTTCATCATCAACCAAAAAAGAATTATTATCAGACTTTACATAATCTTTTGCTATCCTAATGGTTTTTCTCCAATAACCTGTGAGTTTAACCTTGTAAATTAGCAAGCCGATATCGAAGATATTTGGTGACTAGTGTAAAAATATTCCTTCTTTCGCCCGAAGAAGTTGCCGCTTGAAACTATATGTCTTTTTTCTGAAAGAAACTGTCGTATCACCGCCGTAGATAGGGGTCGTCCTGTTTTATTTGATTCTACGATTATTGCACGGTGATATTAGAATCCAATGATCCTATGTGGTGTCATTACATTGTAATAACCCTCCCAACAGTACTTTCTGAAATGCCCAGTGTGAGCTTCTGATTACGGAGGTAGAATCAGAAAAATATTTATAAGCACTAACGATCTTTTTCATTCCCCCGTCCGTCAAGGGTGAACAGCGTTGCTTATCAATCTTATCAATCGCTGGAAACATCATAGATAGATCAAAGTATGCAGAATGATAGATATAGTATTACTTTATTACATACAAAAAATTTGACGTTGATCGACTTGGTGAAACAAAACTTGCTAGTAGCGATTGAAACCTCTTATATTGAGGTATCTACATTTATGCACCGGACCATATATAGAATGAATGTTAGTAGCTGTAACCTTTGCATTAGTCACGTAATTTCAAAAAAAAAAAAAAAAAATCAGTTCTAGAAGACCTACCCATCGAGCAAGAAACTCTAGAATCTTGACCTTCACCAAGGCCTGACAATGGAACCTCTTCTTGTTTCTGAAAATCTTTATTACGACATGTTCGCCAGTCTTATGATCAAGACATTTAACACTTGACCAAAAAAGCCTTTACCGAGACTATCTACTATTTAATATCTGTAATACAAATGATCTCCCATAACCACCAAATAGTCACCCCGCTCGTCATCGAAGCCAAAGTTACAGCCAGTCAGCTCTGTGCTTGCAGGTTTCTTGATTGCATTGGGAGCAGTAAAATATACTCGACTACTTCTGTACGCTCGTATTGAGATAGATATGGACCGAATGTCTTTAATGCTGTCTGTAGTTGTATCTTTTTGCATGAGATTCTTTGTCCCTCTTCTCCCGCAACTTGGGCTTTGCGTCTGATCTGATAGATCTTGATTCAATTTTTGTCCGCCTTTTGTAAAGACGAGCCGCTCAACTGCGGCTGCACTTTCGTCGTTGCCGTCGGTGCAGCATTCAAATTTCTTCGAGGTTTCTTGCTGCCGTTATTAGAGCCAGTAACACTCATTTTCCCACTGGTTGACACTGTCATGGTTACTTGCGTCGACTTTCCACCGGATTGCAACATACTGCCTCCTGATGGACGTCTATTCCTCGGTGACAGGAGGCAAGTTTTTGAGCCGCTCAGCGAAGGCAAAGTGGCGTTTGTGGTTTTGATGATCGTGTGCCTATTCCGGTTCGGAGTTGGTATTTTAGACGGAAAACTTGTAGTAGCCGCGCGGATGTGGTGTAGACGGTATTTTCAAGCGAGTTTCGGATTGATTGGGAGTGGTTTGATGGAGTGGAGCGGATTGTATGGAGAAAATAGGGTGCGCGGTTTTACCGAGCATCTTCTAGTAGGCATAATACAAAAAAAAAGTCATGAGTGGATGCGAAAGATCATTAAAAAATAATATCGCAGTCAGTATTACAATTACAGATATACCGATTTACCTGTCCATTTGGTCGCCTCCAGTAGTGGCAGCTTTTTCTCGTCTAGAAGGCGATAGTCCTTACGTCAGTGCTATCATATTTCTTTTCAATTCCGGATTCTTTTGAGCCCGGTTGGTAATGGGGGTACAGGAGGAATATCCTCTCATTAACTCTACCCACTCCGCGACTTTGCGATCTTGGCTGCGGAAGCATGCTTGGAGGGGAGACAATGGATGATTGACAATGGAAGTGGGTTAGACAATGGAAGTGGGTTAGAAATGATATGCTCGATTGGTGAGTGTGGCTGGGTATTACTATTGCCGCAAATCATGTGATGACGAAAACTGAACCACTCCGCTTTAATTATTAGTGATACTAATACGTAATGTAAAGAACCCTTGGCTCTCGAGCCAATCGAATTTGGAAATTATAAATCCATATTTGGTAAAAAGTAATATTTCACGGAATAATAATAAACTTTGTTTGATTGCCAAATGTGATTACTGCATTACCATACGATAAATTGATTTCCAAAATGATGAACTGGAGAACCAAATTTGGGAAAGAAAGCCTTAAAAAAGGGAATTGAATCAAAGATTTTGTTATTTGTTTTATATTAATGTTGTCTTATGACCTACGTTTCGCTTATTAACACTGCCTAGAAACCCACCCCTCCATGGTTTTGTTCACTTCCCGCTATATATAAAATTCATTCAATTTCTATGTAATACGTAGCCAAAAAAGGTTGCATAGTGATAGTTATATGATGGCTATATAATGGCCGGAAAAATCGCCATCCCCTCAAACTGCAAAATGATTGAACTAGGTTCCGTAATAGCGTTAACGGGGGTGGTAATTGAATTATGCAAAACTCTGCTGAATTCTGGAAAATCGAATGATAGGATGGCGGCGATACAAAGTTTGCGAGACCAAATGCAAATGATATACAACGGAATTATACCATATGTCTCGCCGGACTCTGCGCCCTTGAAGACTTTCATTGAAACATCGCAAGAGACTCGAGACTTCCTTGAAGATTATAAGAAAAAACAAATAAAGTTTCTTAATGCTAATGATGTAAATTTGTATTTAAATTTTATACTCAATTTCATATTCATTCAACAATTTTTTATTTATTATAATTTTTTTTCTACTTTAGGATTTAAGAAAGCTAAAAATGTTTAATGATAAGTTCATCGCCCTTACTCATAAACTTATAAATGAGATCATAATTCGAGAACAAAAGGTAATTAAATTTTCTAGTTGCCTGAATTGTGGCTGGACTATTATTATATTCTAACTTTATTAATCATCGCCAATTAGACCATTAAAAATTGTGGTAACGTTGTAAACGTCGTAGTCGCCACTAAGGTAAGTTTATATCTAAAAGTTGTACGTGTGTATCTCTCTCTTATTTTATTTTTTGCTTTAGGTTACATCCAACGTGATGGAAACATTGAGAAGGGAATCTGAGTTGAGCCGCCGCCATATCCCTGTCTCTAACTCTGACAGGGTAACTATTCCTAGTGGCTTGGTTGCCGCAGGCTTATTGTATCATTCTAACTCTATTATTCTTGTCAATTAGTATTCTTATGAAAATTGTGGCAACACTGTGAATGTCATTGTCGATCCTGACCATGTAAGTTTATACCTGAATTTTGTACGTGTGTATATCTTCTCTAAAAAATTTTTTGCCTTAGATTACACCCGGGCTAATAAGAGATTTACATGCCGGCTTTCTTACTAACTCTAGCTCTAACTACACGGTAAATTATTCTCTAGCAACTTGTTGTTACAGACTTATTGCATCATTCTAACTTTTCTCATTTCTTCAATGAATAAGCCACCCAATGACGATAATGTCGGCTCGGTTACTAAATATGTGCACAGATAGGGAGGCAATCATTTCGTAGGCAATCATTTCGTCGACAATCATTTCACCGACAAATCTTCACCAACATTATTTCGAAGTTATCCTTTTTTGGTAGTTAATTGTCGGTGAAATGATTGTCGATGAAATAATACGGACCCGCACAGATAATATCAATCCATAGACATTTAGGAAAAACATTGAAGGATTGTGAATGACTTGTAGTAATAGATATTTATAAAGTAATTTTCAACCAAGATAACTTGGATATGCTAGTTGGAATTGTCTCAGTCCAGAATTGACAGGTACCCAACTGAGGTACAACACAATTGAAAAATTTTCGCATTTATAGACAACACTTTGTTGATCTATGACCTCTCAACTCCACTGCGCAAACGTTTATTGGGGAGTACGATATCCATAAAGATGGTAGCCCTCACTAACTCATCGCTCTTAGCAGATTCGATGAGGCGATGGTGTTCATTAGCTCTTGCCAAATAAGTCATTACTGCAAACTGTAACCACATTGTGTCAGAATTCCGAAGCTCTGTAAAGTCATGCAATGAATGCCTAGTACACAGTGAACCTGGATATAACGAAGTGGGTCCATTCCAACCTTTTTCTTCGTTATATCCAAGTTTTCGTTATATCCGGGCAGAAAATTCTATTAGACAAGGTTTCGAGACATCGAAAAAACTTCGTTATAGTCGAAATTCGTTTTATCCAGGTTTCGTTATATATATCCAGGTTCACTGTGTATCAGAGTCTGGAGGATGGATACACAAGTAACAGTATCCGAATATAATATTAAATATAAGTTTACCAAGTTAGCGTAATTGATGGTACTAGCGAATGATTGGTTAACTTCCGTATTTGTATTTCTTCCAATTGTTAGTTCAAACTGATATCTATTTTTTTTTTATTAATATCTGCTCGATTTACAACGTTGAGTGAGGAATATGTTATCTTTTGATAGATTGGAGTATTTCATATACGATCTGATGTTAACATTATAATTGTTAAAACTATTCACATGTCACTAATTAATGCAAAATTGTATCATACAGTTGAAGCTGTCTATAGTGAACCTGGCTATACGGAACTCTGGCTGCAGTGAACCAAACCATCAAGAACCGAATTTTCTATAAATAATAACTGCTTCCAGTGAATTTATTAATGAATTTGTCTATAGTGTCTGTGAACTCATTGTTCTATTACCAAGCCCAAATCGAAATTTCGTATGTTATTCCGCTTTCTATTATTGTAAACTGTCGCAACATAGCGTGATTCAGCGGAGAAATTATGGTATGGCAAAAAAGAAAACCAGGCCATTAGCCAAATTTAGTACAGAGATATCGGGTAATCGGACTGTAAATATTATGTCTTTGCATACTGTAATCACTATGTAACGTTTTACATTTATTATAAATTATCCTCGATTTTCAATAATTTGGTACAAGCTACTCGATAAACAACATGTTAAGCAAAAAAAAGAATATCTCTTTCTGTGCTCAAAACGTGAAATTTGTGAAGCAAAAAAAAATCCGATACAACAATATACAATATAGAACTTGCCAAAAAAAAAAAAATTATCGGAAAATTGGCAGTAACCAAGATTCTAAACGAGAAAGATCGTTGGCTTACAACTACAACCCGCAGAAAACGACGTGAAGAAATTTCGCACACTTAAGTGGCCGCAGCTTAAAAATGCTCATCTTTGGGTTGTAAATCAATTTTCGATTAACGGATGGCTAGCAGGCTTTACAAATTGTAATGGACTTTGTCAATTCATAAAGCAAGGAGAAAGTGCAAGTACACTACCTGCTGAACAGTTTGGAAATAAAGGAAAAGAATTACGAACGCTCTTTAGTACTTAATCCTGAAGACATTTGAAATGGCGACGAAACTGGCCTTTTTAGCCTTCACACTACTAAACTTTCAGGCCATAAAAAGATAAATCTCGCGTTACAATTTTTTGTGCTACTAATTCTCTAGGACAAAAAAGGTGAAGCTTGGAATTCACTTATCGACACAAAAACCCCGAGTATGCAAAATTTAAATTAAGCTAACTTACCCGTTTATATTATTGGAACAAGTCGGAAGTTAGCATTTTAACAAAAATATGAAAAACAAAATAGAAATATTTATTGCTGGTTGATGATGCAAACCGACCGGTACATATTATTCTTGAAGAAGCATCAGAAAAGTTAGAGGTGGAGATTAAATTTCTCCTCCTCCAAACACTATAGTTTTTCTTTAACCTGTGACGCTGGCAATTATCCATTCTTTTAAATGTAAATATAGAACTTTATTTATTCAAAATCGAATCAGGACTTTCAAGACGGCACCTCAAACGTACTTGTCTATGCCATATATGAAATGCATCAATCAGAAGTATGGTCTGATGTCCATACATAATTGCTGGCGAAAGACTAGGATAGTATTGTTTCCGAACAGACAGTTATTGAAGACTGTGATATAATTTTCGGGAAGGTCCAGTGAGAGCTATACAAATTTAATTACCTTCTTCGTTCAGTCGATTTTTTTTAGTAACAATAACGGGAAATGCTGCTCAATCAAGCAATTACTAAATGATGCTAACCTTTTAGAAAATAAATACATTCACATTGAAGACGAGAATATCTTACTGATGAAGATGTAATAAAATTAGTAATCTCGAGAAGGAGAAAGTGAAGCTGAAAAGTTGGAAACAATAAGTAATAGAGCAATCAGTATATCAGTCGATACAGTTTTAAATTTTTGTATTAGAGTTAGCGAGATTATCGAAGAAGCAGACGGGTTGAGCTAGCCATTCAGCAAAATTCTAAGCTAAGTATTAGTCTCCACCATTTTGAGAATAAAATGATCGAATAGCAGTTGGGAATTGATAAATATAATAATTTGCTATATAATGTTAGCTGTAGTGAATGCTGGCAGTAATGAACTAAAAACCTCAGAGCAACTGTATATTAATCGCTCAAAATGGCTTATGAAATACTGATTTATCATATATGGTATCATCGATAAGATGGCCCTTCACTAAATCCATCGCCTGACTATTTTGGCAATTGAAAATTTGTATTCCCAAATATGATAGAGACGATGAACTGGTGAGGTTACCGGTGAGGTTACCGGTGAGAGCTACCTATATACTTTTCTACGTGGAATTCCCTAGACGACTTCCTCGAAAGATGCCTTGACACATGTAGATTATCAACAAAAAAAAAAGGTGCATAGCAAATTTTCTAATTTGGGTCGTGCATTATCTATCTTATCCAACCATATTTGACAGACTTTTAGTTGGCCATAGATAGAACCATTGCGATTTATGTCCTACAGCTCCTAATGATTAAAAAAAACCAAAACAAACGATCTGTCACACGCTGACATGTTGTGAAACGTTTTCTCGATCCCCAATTAGTGTACATAATAATAATTAAAGAAGTCAAATATGAAGCAGTCGTTTTCTCCATTATAAACCTTGCCATTCGGCTCTTTTTATCTCTAAGTTACAAGCATAATGAAGTCTGTTATTGTTCCGCTTGTTGAGCAAGATGTTTCTGGTTGCGACTGTTGCGAACCTGCCCATACGTTCGAGGCAGAATGGTGCCTTGACTTGTATGGATATCTTAATCGCAAGGAATATGCTGCTCGGTTAAGGGAAATTAATAACTATATTAGAAATTATCCGTTATTAAGCACAAAGTCGAAGAAATATCTCACGTACGCTATCGCAGGAATATGCGCGCTCATAATTTTTGTCGTTCTCATAATTATATTTACCGCAGCGTCGTATGATAACCTGGCCAATACTGGTATTGTCACCGTCGTACTCGAAACCTTACTTGGGCTCGCAATTCCGATAGGGCGAAAAATAGTCGATGGCATGGCAAAGCGTCGCGCAGAAATATTTACCCAGGCCTTGCAACCTCTGCTCGATCAATACAATCAACAGGAAAATCCAACTGCAAATTGGAAGCTTGTATGGCGTGCTGTCCTCACTCATTTTAGCATAACTATGAACGATGACGGTAAAGGAAAATCCGTACCAAAATACGCCGAGCATGCAGAGTTAGTAATTGAAATCAATGACGCTCTCTCCGATCTTACCGCTCAAACCGTTCGTATAAATCTTACACCCACTACGGTTCCTACGGTGTCCACTGCAGTTCCTAGGATGTCCACCGCCGTTCCTAGGGTGTCTACTATCAATACTACCTATCCTTCTCAAATGGCTGGTGTGCCATGAGAATATATTGAGAGTAATTTTGACAGACAAATTATCATTCGCCAGTTGGACAACTTTATTATTACGAATAAGTTTTGCAAATGTCATGTTTAAAATATCGGTCCAAAAGCCGATTAAAATTTAAGCGTTGGTTCTAGACTCTTGGTTATATGGTCTCTAAACTTTGTTTGATATTATAGCTTTGTAACTTTTTACCATTGTGTACATTGTGTTTGTTATCACTTTAAACTGTTTATAGTCATTTACAATTATTTAACTTGATGTAGAGAGGCGAATTATAATAAAAATTGGTTGAGACTTTATTTCCAAAATATTACAAATTTGTGAAGGTTATCGCTCAAATCTTATTGTAGCATTGCAAATCTCTGATTAGAAATTAGCAGCTTAGGCTCAACATAAAACCGTTTGGAGTTGTTTACCATACAAATGCTCCCCGCTTTGAAAAATGAAGTCTAAATTAATAATTTAAAAAGGACAATGTGTTAGATTATTACATTGATAATTTCACGCACGTTTACACAATTTAGCACGTCTGCAAACAAATATGCAATGTTGCTTCCTTCTCTAACTCGTTATTGCTTAAATAAAAAGTTATGTAATATACCTGATACAAGCCATTCACTATTACACGGAACTTTATGTCATATCCCAGATTTAAGTAATGGTACATTTTCAGAACTACCAAGACTTTATAATTGTGGTAATATAATATTTGTATAGTTTTTGCATTACTATACGCTCTGATAGTAGTTTGATTTGGTATGTCTGCTGTTTTACATATTACGTATACGTATGGCCATATGCTGTAGCGATACTCAAAGTATCGCGATTATTCCTACAGTAGTATGCAAATTAAACTTTTTTATTCGCTGTCGATATAACTAGAATAATTTTAAACTTGCAAAATTATCAATTATTGATTTTGCTTTGGATTAGTGAAACATCTCGGTCCCAAGGTAAATTCATGCCTACATTTTATTTCCGCACAAAAATGTATTTGAAGGGAAAACAATTGATCTTATCGAAATCGATAGTTAAAATTTTGTATCATATTATATTTTCTAACATGGGTTATCAATCGTGTCTGCGTCTTGTAAAAAGGACATAATAAAGACAAGTAATATGGGTATGATGTTTATACTTGAATAACTTGAATTTTGGAAACATTAGCTATGTAATCAGTAATTGTGAATCTGCTATCACTTTACTTTGCTTACAAATGTCAAATAAACGAGTATTCTATAGTCACAGTGGCAACGTATTATCAAAGATAACTATAAATGTATTTCATTATTTGAATAAAATTATCTGCCGTTTTTTTAGAGCAAGCATGTCGAATTATCTCTCAATTTTATCATTGCATTTGTTATCCAATCATTCAAACTTTTCCCCTTTCGTTTAGTTGTCAAATATCCAACTTAGCCACCCGCTCTGCTCTGGCTATTATTTTGGTGATAGGTGAACATCACTTCTAGGTTAAATGCCTCCGCCAAACGGTCAGAAGTGTGATATGAAAATGAATATAATACTGCGCACCAAGAGCTTAACATTGAATCTGACCAATTCGATGCATAGAAGATTTAAAGTTTCAAATGTGTTCTGCGCATTTAACTTTATTCGGTGTACAGTATAAATGTCACACCTGCTGTTATTCTGCGCCAAGCACGTGCATACAATGAAAAAGACTACTTAATCAATAGTAAATAAATAATTTTTCGTTCAATAATTCCAAGTCTTGGTACGTTCAATGTCTACTGATTTCAATGATTTTTGCATGATCGTAATACCATATTAAACAATGTTCCGCTTTCCACACAGTCTCGCTCGTCAACTGCCAGGCTCGTTCCGAATTATCACACAATTATCCTCTTATAAACTCTATCAACCCTTCGCTGCTGCCATAATGTCAAACGCAGCTCAATCAAATAGCGCTGCTGCCGAATCACGAAAGAGTCGAGTGGTAACTCTCCCACCGGTATCTCTTCTTTCTAACATATCTGCCGAGCCATTCGTTGACACACATGCCCATCTCCATTACGTCTTAGAAAAACTACCTGATTCCTTTGGATTGACATCATTGGAAGCATTAAAAGAGGATCATTTTCCAAAGAATTTAGAATGCGTTATAAACGTTCTCTGTGAACCGGAAAGTTTTTATCCTGATCTATATCCAGGCACCTTTCGTGATTGGCGTGTTATGGCATCTACACCTTATGTCTATTTGACAGCAGGTGTTCATCCCCATAGTGCGCGTTTATATGACGACCAGATCGAAGCGCAGATGATTGAGATATTACTTCATGAGAAGACGGTTGCTTTAGGAGAGATCGGCTTAGACTATCATTACGATAACTCGCCTAGAGACGTACAGAGAGAAGTGTTCATTAGGCAAATTAAAAAAGCGATTGATTTCAATAAGCCTTTGGTTATACATACAAGAGAGGCTGAGCAGGATACTTGGGACATTATGAGAGAACACGTGCCTAAAGAGTGGAAAGTGCATGTGCATTGTTTTACTGATTCACCAGAGTTTGCCACGAAACTACTCGAGTATTTTCCTAATCTGTTTCTGGGAATCACAGGTCAGTAGACGGGAAGGTGGGGGAGGCGTGTGAGTGGAGGGAAAAGACATTGTCCTAATTGATCGTTGTGTTGTCAAGTGATATGGCGCTCATACTCTTTCACCCCTTCGTTCCCAAAGGTGTCGTAACATATTCATCAGCAAAGAATACTCAACAAATAGTTCGCTCCGTCGTTCCTCTAAATCGCTTTCTCCTTGAAACCGATGCACCATATATGACGCCAGCAAAACTAAACAGGAACAAGAGAACGCATGAAAAGATCACCGTAAGCCATTCAGGAATGATTCCTTTTGTTGCCGAGAGAATTGCGCAGCTTAGAGGAATTGGTGTAGATGATGTTATGAAGGCCGCAAGAGAAAATGCTAGAGAGATGTATGGCGTATAAGCAAAGGCGATAGATAAGGAAACGGGTTGGCACATAGACTCGACAATTAGAGACGAGGCCTGCAAACAGGCTTTGACAAGTGCCAATCAGTACATAAGTACGTAGACAGCATATAGTAATATTTATGTATAAAATCGCTCTATTGTATGAATAACGCATCCTGTCCATCATTAATAGAAACAGACTATTTTCAAAAAAAAAAAAAATTTGTTCTTTTACTTAAAATAAAATGCTACAATCGCAACAATATTTATTATTATCGACGAAACCCAAGTTTTGGCATGCTCAACTGCACGAATAAGCATACATATGTGTGTATACGCTAAAATCATACTTGTGTGTCGGAATATAACTTTATTCCGTTCAATCTTTATCACATAATCGCTAGGATCAGTCCCTCCTTCTAGTTGTGAACGGTAATTAACCTGTGTGGTGAAAGAAGCAAACAATTGTTAGAACAACTGTATCTATACATATATAATTCATGTTCGAAAATATTCAATATTGGTCAGAATGTTATTCTCCACACAAGTGTGTCTTCGGTCAATGTAGATAAGGAAATTTTTGTATATTCGTCATACCATTTGTTCTCTCCCACTACCACCACTCTGTTTTCAAACAAACCACATTCCTATCCATCCACACGATACTAACCTTTCTTCTTCGACACACCCACTGTTCTTCCTCTTCTGCCTGTAGTTTTAGTATGCTGACCACGCACACGCAAACCCCAGAAATGTCTCAACCCACGATGTGCTCTGATCTTTTTTAATCTCTCCAAATCTTCACGCAGTTTGGATTCCAAATTGTTGGCCAAGATCTGTGAGTATTTACCATCAACGATATCCTTTTGTCGATTGAGGAACCAGTTCGGGATCTTGAATTGAGTTGGATTTTGAACGATGTTGACAATTCGTGCAAGTTCTTCGTTGGTTAATTCACCAGCACGCTTGCGTAGATCGACGTCAGCTTTCTTGCACACTAGGTTAGAGTATCGGCGACCCACACCTTTTATTGCCGTTAAGGCAAACATGACTTTTGTTTTACCGCTGATGTGGAGTAATCGGTGATTTGTCAGAAGAAAATTTCGACAAAGTAAATAATACGACAAGAAAAGCACTCACTCGACATTGGTATTTAACAGACGAAGAATGTGTTGGAACTGGTTCTGATCGGGAACGACGAGGGACTAGGGAATTAGTTGTAGAACTGGTTAGTAATTGAACGAGCAAATAATCTATCTATTCCATGCACTCGTTTTCTATCAATCTTCTATCAATTAAACTCTTTCCAAATGACATCCATCCATCGCATTAAACTTGACTTCATAAAATCATGTTTTTCCTGTCTGCATTCATGATTCCATCTGCTGAGAGCGCTATCTCTACTCACCATATTGTATATATATGTTTCGACGATGTGGGCAGAAAAGGAAGGACAGGAATCGACTAACTTTGATAAATTTAAAAACTAAATTTTCACATAAACCGTGACGTAACGGTTTGGTTAATCATGTGATTTAAATTACTGTATTAGTATTAGTATTAGTATGTCGGAACATCAGAGCGTCGTCGCTTATATTTACAGTATCATTAATAAAGTTTATAGAAATTAGCCAATGCACCGCCAGCGTACGTTCATTTATACGTAACTTGTTTGTTTATAATGTATTATGTATGCATGTTTATTAATAATACAAATCCAAATTACTTCGCTCAATACAGTCAAATCTCGATATAGTGAAGAATTTCTCTGAAACAAAATAGTGCTATTAAATTTTCACTCGATATAATGAAGTTTATACACCTACTATTGGTGATCAATTAGTAAAACATATGAAAAAATCTTTTTTTTCGAACATCTCTATGTCTGTACGTACTATCTACACAAGCGGACATAAGTATCCGAACGGTTGTATTACCTAAACGTACATAATAATAACCCTTTAATATTAAATTTTCCAGGAAAAAGGTTTATGACAATGCCTGATCACATGTAAAATTTTAGCTCGAGCGGATGTCTCCAGAA